AAATGATGAGGACAAACATAGGTGAATTGTCCCTCAGACCCCTGCTTATTATTAATGAATGACTCAGTTTGTGTTTGGGGCAGATGGTATTGCGAGTCTCAGTGTTCTTTACATGTTTGTTGGCAGAAACGTGATCCACGGCAGCGACTCTGTGGAGAGCGCGCAGAAGGAAATCTCTCTGTGGTTTCGTCAGAGCGAGCTCAACCGCTGGGAGAGCAGCAGCAGCCGCTGGCTCTACAACTGACTTTCTGCACAAACACTGTCTGATCGTAAACGTTTTTTTGTTTTTATCATGTAAGGAATCACGTCATACCTCAGATGAACTGTTTGGCTTTAGTAATTTGTAGCTACTCGAAAGCTCATCTCTGCCGTCCTGCATTTCATCTTTTTCATACATTATTTTATATCTTAAGGGAGGTGAGACGACACTACCAAGCAAAATGCACTAAACGAGCAATAACCTGGCTTCTGCTTTCTTTCCAGTTTTTGCTTGTTTTTTCAGTCCACAATATTAAAAAGTAAAACTTTTTGAGTTTGAGAGGCACTGATGTAAGCAGTTCATGTATGGTACAAACATGTAATGTTTATATGAATTGTGGCCCATAGATTAATGTTTTTTGTATTTTATTTTGGCACTTCTAACTAAACGGGAGCAGTTTACCAACACATTGTCTTTGCCTTGCACACACGTTCAGCTTCTTGTACTTTCCAAGTACAAAGTAAAAGTACTTGAATGTAAACTTTCCAGCTCCCCAAATGCATATAGCCTGTTAAAGTGATGCTGCACTAAATAACATTTACCTGATTGGTCACGTTTATGCTTTTATTGGCTGTTAAGAAGCTTTATTTTACCACCAAAAAAAGAATAAACCTAACATACTTTTTAAAATGTTCTTCTTGTTGTGAAGTGAGACACACACAGAGACCACACAAACCCGAGTTAATTGTTCTGAGCACACATATGTTTAATATTTAATACACAGAGATAGAGATCAATGCGAGAATTTCCATACTGAACAAAGAGGATGGGTTTCAGTGGAGATTTACACAACTCCCTGTACATACGATGACAACACGCCACTGTTCACCGTCCCATCAACAGCCAGGCAGAGAAATGAGAGAGATGAGATCTGGACTGAACCCTCGACACAGTTGAAATCCTTTTGTATGTGGACACAATCTGACCTTAGAGCCCCATCAGGACTCTTATGGAGGCGACTCATTGTGACATGTGAAGCAACATGTTTTAAGCAGCAGCCGGGAGAACCCAGGCTTCTGCAGGGGGTTGGAAATGAAGGAATTTGACTTCCTATTTGTTCCGTGTATGCTCATCCTGACTTGAACGCCACACTTTTGTGTGAACTTTGACCTTAAACCGAGGCCTCAGCTTTCTGCTTCCTCGCACACCGTCTAAGAATATGTAGATGCATAAAACGGAGTCCCTGATTGTTAATGGACTGCCAAATGGCCGTTGGTAGGACTGATGTCTACATGCCGGTGCTGCCTTTCCTGCTGCTGCTGTTCTTTTTCCTTATTTTTGTGCATTTTGGGGCTTTGCTTTAAAATGAGGTGGAGTTTTCACTGATGATTAACTAAATGGAGGAAGATGAGGAATAACTCTGGGGCAGATGCAGGACACTTGAGGTAAATATAGGAAGAGATACAGTGTGCTTACAGGGTGAATATAAGGTTGATACAGAGAAGGGAGGTAGTTATGAGGCTGGGTTACAAAGCTCATGAATCATTACAATGCCCTGCGTGGGACAGAAACAGGATGGCAGGCAGGTTTCTAGGTTTTAAGGTCTGGGACAGGAGGGGGTATAATAGTTACAAGGGACGATACACGGCTTTAATGGTCGTTTTAGAGCCAAAGGGGGGACTTTTACATGACCGGGGGAAAATTACAAGGTTTGGGTGGCTGAAAGCTTCTGGGCGGGAGAAGAGATCTCTTTAAGGAGATGGGTGGATGGGTGAGGTGTTAAAGCAGATCTCAGGTGTCACTCGGGTACATAAGACACCTGCCAGACGATGATGTGGCTCCGCTCAGCTTTGCACAAAGTAGGTTTGTTCTGCGAAGCCCCGCCACCACCATTTTCTCCTTCCTCCGTCTCATCATCCTCTCCATCGCCTGAGAAGAAAGAAAAAACAAAGCAGAGCCATGAAAACCTGCAAGCAAACTTTGTGCTCAAATAGTTACATGCATTTTGTGTACTTTTTGAAACTGTTTCATTCATCATAATTTGATGTGATGCTATTGTACTTTTCACGAGTCTAAATACACTCACGTTGCTCTTTCAGACACCTAATCAGCTTTGCTGTTCAAGCAAAAACAAAGACCGTCTGCTGTTATTTACACTTAACCAACTTACCTGGATGGGCTGCTGTGGTAAAGAAGCAGGCATGAGAAAGTACATAACTATGCTGGTGACATGGATTATAAAAGGCATGTCCTATTCCAGTAGGTTTCTTTAACCATTAATTAACTAATTACTCATTACTTGCTAATAAACCATCCAAGTCCAAGACCATTGGACCAAACGGAAAAAGTACTATTTCCAACTTCTCAAATTAAAAAACCATGGCTGCTAGGGGTGAGTGGTTCAATCCAGGTATCAGAAACACAAGTACCAATGCTTTTATTGGTATTGGACCGATACTAGTGCCACAGGATCGATAATTTAGTTTGTGAAAATGGAAAAAAACATAAAACGTGTGTTTTGTTGTGTTAATTATTACTGTGGAAAGTAAAAACCACAGTGATTTACCAGCCCTCTCCTACATAAGCTGGCTTTAAAAGTTGTACCTTTATTAATGTTGGGTACTTACATTACAATATAAAGTGCCTTGAGGAAACTGTTGTTGTGATTTGGTGCTAAATAAATAAAACTGAACTGAACTGAATAAGTTAAAAGTATGAATATCGGTATTGGTATCGGCAATACCGTATTTACTCGATATCAAATCGATACCAAAATATGCAGTATCGGATATACGCACTGGTTTCAGGACAGGTTTGAATGCTCACCTATGCGGAAGTCGATGTAACCCTCGCCGCCACTCAGCACCAACACGTTCTGAACACTCTGCGCCTCCGTCTCTGTGGGAGCTGTGGAGCCCTGTCCTTCTGATGGACTGTCCAACACACTGCCATTTAGGGTAGCCAGGACATTGCCTGTCACCAAAAGAAAAAGAAAAACAGGAAAGAAAGATGTTACTGAAAATGACATTTACGTATTGAAAGTGTCACTGATGACACCTTCACAAAGTAACAAAAACACAATCTTTCTTTAACGTCAGATGAATATATCAGAAAGGTTTGGAAAGAAGCAGAGCTTAGATAATAAATAGTCACTAACATTTTGAGAGCGATGGAACAGTATTATCACAGATTTGTGATGTCTACATATGTGTCTTTTAACATTTAAGACAAGACGTGTAAATTTAAACATGCCTATTAGTGCACAGTCCATTTAAAATTCAGAATTAAAGGGAGCAGAGATTCAGGCAGAGATTCAGGCCTACCCGGCACAGAGACGAAGAACTTGACAGCATCACGGTGTCCATGGAAACAGAGTTGGGCCTGTGCCATTGAGCAGTAGGGGATGAAGCTGCCGCTGCTCTTCTCAGAGCCATCGTCGCCGTACACGTGGATCACCCCGCCAGAAGATGTAGGTGACACCTTATTGGCTGATAGAGTGAGAGTAAAGGGTAAGAGTACACGAGTAACACGTGTTTGTGAACAAATCACATTCGGTAGCATGACATAATCAAATAAAAATTCATTTTCCACAGATCAACTGAAAACAAAAGATTTTTGAAAAAAAAATCTCAGCTCGCTAAAAGACGCCCGCTGCATGCAATGGATTTGTTACGCATAAAAATAAACAAATCATAGACATGCAAAGCAAATCCCGAGTAAAAAGCTGCTTTTAAAGTTCAGCAAACTGTGAAATCCTTGCACACAGTGTACTCTGTGACCTTCAGCTAAACTGTTGCACTGCTCAAAGAGCTCGACACGTACCCTCGTAGAATAAGCACATAGCAGACAAAGTTTAACAGCAAGCGATACGTTGTATCAGGAGACACGGAGGCTCGACCGGGTGAAAAGGAGGTTAGGAGCGCTCCCACTTACCCCTCAAACCCAGGAGCTGTCCCCGGTGAAGGACCACCGCTACGGGAGGCGGAGGAGAGTGGAGGGAGAGCGGGAGAAAGAGCACAGCAACAGTAACAGTTACGACGGAGAGTTTGTGAAAGGGGTGAAACCACAGAGGGAAGCAAAGAAAAACAGAAGGTGGAGAAAGTTGGGGAGCTGATGGGGAGAAGAAGAAGGAAACTAAAGAGAACGGATAGAGAGTGCTACGGTAGCGGAGAGTGTTTGTGTGGACAAATGAGCCAAATTCGGCCACCTAATGAATTTCCTTTACGGAGGACATTTGACAAGATTGGGTTCATGTTAAGTTTACTGTAGTCCTACCTGCTGAGCTTCAGATTCAGCACACATTCAGTTTGTTTGTCTTCGTTCACTGTCATCTAAATTTCAATTACACTCTTTTTTTCTCTGCGTTACCTGTGCTGCTCCAGTCCTGCCTGTTTATTACAAAAAGAACTGGCTGAGACCAGAAACTGCATTTCCTCTAGGAGCCACTTACCACCAATCGTAGCAGCATGATTGAAAAGGACACAGATTGTGGAGCGCATGCAAGTCAGACTTTAGGAATTCTGCTACTTAAAATCATCATCTCACGAGGCTGTCCTTAACTTGAAACTTGCCAAATCAATTTCATTATAAAGTAAATAAAGTATATTTTGATGATTATGATCATGGTGTTATGTGTGATTGATTGGGAGGTGTCCCTTTCTAATGGATTATTGAACTCATGTCTGTGTGGTTCAGATCATTGCAGAGGTTTTGGTGAGTTAAAGTCCTAGTGTTTAATTATCCAGTATGGGTGTCTGTGTTACACCATGGTGAAGCTGATAAATTAGGACTCCATCACTTCAACCTGATCAGGTTAAAAAACAAACAAAAAAACCCCCAAAAAAACCTTTAAAAGTTGAATTTTAAAAATGCAGTTTAAAAGCAGTGGGTGAGGTCACAGTGACTACGTAAATATTTGATACTGCTTATAGCTGAGGGTGGAGCTGGTTTGCATGGAGATGCCTAACAAGTGCATTAAACATCTGCTTTGATAGCTTGGGCAGGGTTTCTTTGTAGTGAGTGTGGTTATTACCTCCCTTTGTGTTTATAATGGCTTGCTCCATGAATAATATAAGTCAAGTTCTGCCCATTTGGTCAATTTATAAGTTCTTCTTTTATTTTGTAAAGTGCTGTTGTGTTTTTGATTTACCTTTTAACATTT